CGGCGGGCGCCCCCTTCTCCTTTCCGTCTCTCCGGTCCCCGGTCCCGAGAGGGGGCCGGGCGACCTGTGTCCCCTTGGACCAGGACCGGGACCGGGGGCCGCCTGTCTCCTCTCCCTCTTCACAGCTGGGAACCGCGGGAACTCGTCTTGGGTGCCGGGGAGGAACAGTGGCCCCTGGCCCCTGCCCCGCCAGGCTTCGGGTGACCGGGGGTGTCTCGAGATGGCCTGATGTCTCGGGTGCTCCCGGTGACCTGGGTGGCCCCAGGACGCCAAGGGACGCAAGTCCTCGGGCGCTGTCCCCGCCCTCAGTGCTGACCCCCCTACCACCTAGGGCACCTCCGCGCCCCCTATTCCTGGGAACGGGGTGGGGGTGAGACCCTGCGAGCCCTGCAGGGCGGGTCGCTCCCCGGGTCCTGTCGCCCCATCTGCAGGGAGGCGCAGCCTTATGCTCGGAACAAAGGGTCTCGGGCTCTGGAGGGAGGACTCGGTCAGGTGACGTCGCCAGCAGGGACCCGGCCCTGGCACGAAAGAGGCGGAAGGCCGAGTCCATGCACACCCGGGACACTGGGTTTGCGGCCCAGGCGGGGACCCTGGTTGGGCCCGCCGGTGCTTCCTTCTGTCCCAGGAGCAGCGATCACTATGGCCCCTGTGGTGACAGCGCGGGCGAGGGTCGCAGAGCCTTACCGGGCTCCTGAACTGGCACTGGTGCAGCCCTCGAGGCGGGCACGTGAAGATTCACTTGATGGCTACCGAGACTGGAGCTCAGCCGAGCTAAGCCCGCCAAGCTCGCAGGGCTCTCGGGATTTGCGTCTGTCCAGCGTCAGAACCTACTCTGAGGGTGTGCAACCTGGCAGAGCCTTGTTCCTGGGAGGCCTGTTTCCCCTCCGTAGTGAGGAGTGGAGATGTACCTGGGGGAGGGACGGGGAGCACTTCGATGTCATTTCTGACGGCTGACAGGGCTGCTCCCCCAGTGGCCCGTGCCTCCGAGGCTGAGCACCGCCTGTTTGAGCACCTGTTCGAGGACTACAACGAGATCATCCGGCCCGTGACTAACGTGTCCAACCCCGTCATCATCCAGTTCGAGGTGTCTATGTCTCAGCTGGTGAAAGTGGTGAGTGCGGGCCTGGCTGCGGGCTCGGGGTCTCTCCCAGATCAGCCAGGCATTGTCAACATTTGTATATTTCTGTCTTTTCCCCAGGACGAAGTGAACCAGATTATGGAGACCAACCTGTGGCTCAAGCAGGTGAGTGGCTGTTCCGCGACTGCTGCCCCCTGGTGGCCACTGCCAGATGTGCTGGTGGGAACCCAGCTGGGCCAAGGGGCTGGGGCACTAGACCCCCGGTCACACGCTCTGCTCTGCAGTCACCTGGCCCTCCTCCCCATCACAGAGGGACAGTCTGAGGCCGGGGAGCCCTCTCCACAGTCGCACTACGACATGGGAGAGCTCTGGGCCTGGGGTCCTGGCCCCAGCTTCTTCCCTTCCTCTTTCCAGAATCAGACTCTATAGGGGTGGAAACTGGAACTCTGAATTTTCTTGTTCAGACTGAGTCCTCCACGTGTCTACCCCAGGAAGGTGTCTACCTCAAAAGCACAGTGACCCAGGCCTGGTGGTGACCACCCTGCTGGTGACCCTTCCTCCAGTTCCCACAGCTTTGTGACCTTCAAGCCCTCTGTAGCCACCTCATCTCTGTCTCCTCCAGTGCTTAGCAGCCACTTCTTGGGGCCAAATAGGTTCCTGGCTCCTCTTCCAGAACCTCTCAGGGCTGGAGGCTGCCTTCTTATTGGGGCCTGGTCGAAAACTTGGACCTGGGCCTGGTGCAGTGGCCTGGGAGCTGGACCTGGCGCTCATGGTGATGAGAGAAAGCACTTGTTAAAAGTCCTGTTTGATTGATGGTACTGGATTTGCCCACAGATGGGGCGGGGATCCTGCTGTCCCACGCTACAGCCTAAAGGTGGTCCAGTGGCCTGAACGGGGTGAGATGTTGCTGGGCTGGACCTCATGCTGTCCCTGTCCCCAGATCTGGAATGACTACAAGCTGAAGTGGAATCCCTCCGACTACGGGGGAGTGGAGTTCATGCGCGTGCCTGCGGAGAAGATCTGGAAGCCGGACATTGTGCTGTATAACAAGTAAGGGGCCTGTGCCCACCCCTCTTTAGGGCACCCCAGAGAGCACGGCTTGTGTGCTCATTGTGCAGGTGTTTATTGAGCACCTACTGCATACCAGGGCCTGGAGTCGCCCCTGAGCTACAGGGCATGGCGTGTGAAGAGAGACTCCAGAGGGCACGATGTAGGTGGCGCCATAGAGACAACATAGAAATGGGACTCAAAGGTCACTTGGGGACAGGGAATTTAGCTTTAGTGGTTCCACCGCCTTCCTGGCAAGCGCAAGGACCCGAGTTCGAGCCCCAGTACCCCCGCCCAATCACTTGGAATCTGGAGTGTACAGCTGGAGCCCAGCAGCCTAGGGACACAGGGGAGTGTCAAGGACAGCCAGGGTGACCTCACTGGCTGCACTGTGGGACACCAGGGAGTATATGGAGTCTGGGGGGAGGGGTTGGAGGGCTCCAGTGTGGTGCCTGTCACTATGCAAGACAGGTCCTGTGAGTGGCTTCCCCTGCCTCTTAGGACAGAAGGTGAGTTGGGGGAAGGGCAGAGGTTGGGTTCTTGTCTTGGAACTACTGTTCCCAGCTGGTGGACCAGCAATATGGTACCTGCACTTGGAATTCCTCCTGTGTGCTTTTCACTGTCTCTTCTAAAGTTAATATACATTACATTATTTTATATCATACTCGCATATATGTGTGTGTAAAGCTGAAGCTGGAAAGGAGCTCTTTAAAAATACAGGTGCCTGCATTTGAAATATTTTATTCTTTATTCTTCATGGTCTTTTTTTTTTTTTTCCAGTACTGGGGATTGAACCCAGGGCCTTCAAACATAGCTCCATCCCAGCCTCTTTTTTTTTTTTTTTTTTGAGAGGGTATTGTTAAATTGCTAAGTTGTTGGGGCTGGGGATTTAGCTTAGTTGTTCCACCACCTGCCTTGCAAGCACAAGGTCCTGAGTACCAAATGAAAAAAATCCCTGGTACCAAAGGAAAAAAAATTGCTAAGTTGTCTAAGCTGAGCTTGAACCTACAAACCTCCTGCCTCAGCCTCCCAGAGTGCTCGGATTACAGGTGTGTACCACCACACCCAGTTCTTCCCTGTCTTTTAAAAAGTTAATATGTATTATTTTATGTCATATTTTATATATATATAAAACTACATTACCAAAAATGTCTCTATAGCTGCCCCACACACACTGAGCTGGTGGGCCTGTGGTGGCTCGGCAGTGTGTCTTCACCAATGTTCCGGGGGTTGTGACGGGCGGCCTGCCTCGGGGGTCCCTGCCCAGCCCAGTTCCCACACCAGTGAGGACAGGCCCAAGGTAGCAGATGACCTCATTCTGGGCAGGCAGTGGAGCCAGGCCTGGAGATAGAGCTCAGTTAAGTGCTTGTTTAGCATGTGTGAGGACTTGGGTTTGGTCCTCAGAGCCAAAAAACAAAAGAAGTGACAAAACTCCACTTTGCAGCAAAAGAGAATTAGTCTAACCTACCTTTAATGAATAAAAGCATCTTGTGTTTAGGTTTTGTGCATTGGTATCATGGATGTTTTAGCATTAGTATTAATGCTGTTGGATTTTAACTTAGTATTGAGAAGCTGTGATTTTTCCTAAATCCCACCTTTTGCTCTCCAGAAAAACCAAAATGGGGTCTTTAATCACTCAGAAGACATCTGTGTTCTATGAACTTTTCCCCCAAGGAAACACAGAATTTAGAAAAATTTCCTCTGTACAGTTTGTATTTGTAACCGGGACATAAGATGCACTCAGCCAGGTTGTAGAATTTTCCCTCTTAGCCTGAGCTGCATAGAAATCCCATGGTCCAGAGACTGCAGGAACTGGGTGTAGGAAGGAGAGTTTCCTCTGTGTTAGAATTTAGAACACAAGCATAATCTTTAATCTTGTAGTTTGGGGTTTGTAGCTGTTTTATTGCCAGCAATCTTGGGGGAATGGCTGGAGGGTGTAGGACTTTAGCAATAATGAGACACCCTTCAGACTGGGTATAAGAGGAGCAGACAGCACAAGGAATTTCTGTGGAATCCAAAGCTGAAAATAACACCAGGAAGCCACCCAGCCTGATTCTTCCACGTAGAACGCACCCTCCTCAGTATCAGCCCTCTTCTAACAGTAGAGACATCTTTTCTTACATTCAATTTTCTTCTATGATATTTTGTTTTCTGAAGTTCATCTCCTAATAGGATCCTCAGAGCATTCATGGATACATATTATACTCTAGGTTCTAGCAAACTCATAACTCACTGTGGCATTTTTAATTTTTAACTTTTTAATTTTATTGATTGGTTGAAGACCGGGAAAGTCTTGCTGTGTAGATCAGGCTGGCCTTGAACTCACTATGTAGCCCAAGACGGCCTCAAACTTCCGATGATCCTCCTGCCTTGGCCTCCCAAATGCTGGGATTACAGACGCGCATGACCGTGCTCAGCTTTATTGTGGCCTTTTAAGAGAATATTTTAAGCTGCTTGGATGAGCATAAAATACTTGGCTCCTATTTTCCTCCTATGAAAATATAAACCCTACCATATTATCTTTTAGCATGAAGTGTTGCTCTCAATAGCTGATGCCAATCTGCATTTTCTTTTTGTTGTTAAGTGGGGTGACTTTTCAGAGACAACAGGAACATCATTCAGAAGCATGCCAGGACCCCAAATGTGAGCAGGACTGCCCTGGACAAATTGGGATATGTAGTCATTTTATTGTTCTTTTGGTTGGCTACTCAAAGCATTTTTTTCTTTGTCTTTACATAGATTTATTTACTTTTTTACTTATCTATATATTTTTGAGATGAGATCTCACTGTGTTGCCTAGGCTGAAATGGAATTTATGAGCTTAAGAAATCCTCCTGCCTTAGCCTCCAGAGAAACTGGGACTACATGTGTATGCCACCACCTCTTTGTCTTTTTTTTTTTAAAATGAAACAACTCTATTGAACTAAAAATTTACATACCACACAACTCACAACTTATATTGTAAGATTGAGTAGATTTTAGTGCCTTGATAGAATTGTTCAGAGTTGTATAGAGTAACTATAACCACAAATCAAATTTAGATCATTTTTGCTATCTCAAATCAAAACACCCTGCCCACTGTCTATCATCTCCCAGTCCCTCCCTGCTGAATCTTGGTAACCACCGAGCTACTCTCTGTCTCCATAGATTTTCCTATTCTGGGGATTTAATTTTTTCTCAAAACAGACCATGCTCATAACAACAGCATATCCAAAGAAATGTTAATCCTGCAAGTGAGCTGTCCCACCATTTTAGAGTGTAACCAGAGACTGACAACAGAAACTTACTTAGAATTTTTTCCCTTTTTTAATTTTTAATTTTTAGAATACTTTTTTCCCTCTTTCTCCTCTTGCCTATTATTATTATTATTATTATTATTATTACTGGAGATTGAACTCATGACCTTGTGCTTGCCAGGCAGGTGTGGTACCACTGAGCTAAATCCCCAGAAATTTTTCATTTAAGAGAAACCATACAATGTTCAGGTTTGTGTGTCTGATTACTTCACTTACCACTGTTGTCTCAGGGTGCATGAATTTTTAACTGCAGTGTTGGACACACTGTGTACAAGTACCACGTTTTTATCCATTCGTCTGTTGGTGGGCGTATAGGCTGATTCCAATATTTAACTATTATGAATTGTGCTGCTATAAACACAGATACACATATATCACTGTGTTATGTTTTTAACTTTTGTGAAGATACCCAAAAGGGAAACAGGTGGGTCAAATGGCATTTCTGTATTTAAATTTTTGAGGAATCCCCATATTGATTTCTGAAGTGCCTGTATCAGTTTACACTCTCACCAACAATGAAGAAGGGCTCCTTTTTTCCCACAGCCTCGCCAGCATTTGTTATTGACTGATTTCTTGATGGTAGCCATTCTCTCTGGGGTGAAATGGGATCTTCATGTTGTTTTAATTTGTTTTGTTTTTTGGTACTGGACATCGAATTTGGAACCTTGAGCTTATAAGGCAGGCGGTGGCACCACTGAGCTAAATCCCCAGCCCCATGTTGTTTTAATTTGCATTTCTTGGATGGCTAGTGATGTTGAACATTTTTCCTGTATTTATTGGCCAATTGTATTTCTTCATCTGAGTAGTACCTATTCATTTCAAATGCCCATTTTTTAAATTGGGTCTTTAAATGTGTGGCGGGGGGGGGGCTAACATTTTTATTTCTTTATACAGTATATTCTAGATGTTAGTCCTTTGAGAAATAGCTGGCAAATTTTTTTCCCATTGTGTAGGGTTCTATTTTGTTAATGGTTTCCTCTGATGTGCAAAAGCTTTTTAATTTAATGTGATCCCATGTTTTATTATCAATATCATTTCTTGTGCAACTAGTGCTTTACTCAGAAAGCCTTTGCCTACTATACCTTTGTCTTTGAGAATTTTGCCCATTCTGTCTTCCACCAGATTAAGTATTTCTGTTTTAATGTTGAGATCTCAGATTCATTTTTACATTAGCTTAGTGGATGGTGGGAGACATGGGTCTAAATTCAGTCTTTGGCACGGGGATAGTGAGTTTTCTTAGCACCATGTGTTAAGGAGGTTCTTTCCTCCAGGAAAGGGTTTGGCCCTTTTGTCAGAGACCACATAACTGAATGTGCCTCAAGTTGTTTGTGTATCTTCTATTCTGCTCCACCAATCCACAAATCGATTTCTTGTTTGTTTATTTGTTTTGGTACTGGGGATTGAACTCCAGACCTTGAGCTTGTGAGGCAGGCAGTGGAACCACTGAGCTAAATCCCTGGCCCTTTTGTTTGTTTGTTTTTGTTTTGTTTTTTGTTTTTGGCAATACCACACTGTTTTTATAACTATAGCTTTGTAGTAATATTTGAAGTCTAGAATTGTGATATTGTCTTCTTGCCCAAGAGTTGCTTTTGCACCTCTAGGTCTGGTTTCATATGAATTTTAGGATTGCTTTTTCCAGTTCTGTAAGAAATGCTATTGGTATTTTGACTGGGATTGCATTAAAGCTGTATAATATTTGGGGGAGTA